CATTGGAAAAACGAAGACTTCTCATCAGAAATATCTTTGCTGGGTTAAATGGCTTTCTAATTGCCTAAGACATGTTTTTGGCCCTTTTGGGTAGTTTATAAAAATTTTATTTAACAACAGGGTTAAAAACGAAACCATAAAAACTGACAAATACAAAGATAAAATAAGTCAGAATGGAAAAAGTAAGAAAATAATATTTAAAGGATGCTTTCCTGAGCTTACGGTGGAAGATGGCTTGGACAAAGACAAGGCGGCTAGAGAGAAAACTCTAGTAGAGCAGTGTTCACGAGTATTATATTGTTGCTTAATCTTTACCCTTAATTATATTGTTATTTACTTAGTTAATTTATATAAACTACTAATATTATTTCAACTTCCATTAAATTTTAATACAAAATATTGAACATCAATTCCTTTATACTCTTTAATTAGCTTCTTTTTATAACTTGCTGATTTGATTTAGAAGAGCTTCACATAGAAGCAATAAAGTTAATTTGGAGCCTTTAAGAAAAAAAAAAAAAAATTATTGATATAAAAGTTTTAGTACGAAGGGTTCTTAAGAAGATGAATAAAATTTTCTCTTATTGCATTGTATGCTTTACAAAAATAATGGGTGAAAGAGTTTTCTTTTTTTTTTCTTTTTCTTAAGAAAATGAAAAGTCGAGTTTAATTAATGAAGCATTTAGTATTTCATTAGAAAGAAAGATAAAATCTCAACAAAAGATTTTTGTTAAGCTTGTTTAACTAAATATGAATTTATTTGAAAGTCGTCGAAAGTCAGAAAACACACAAGATATTGAATAGAAAATTACTGTTAAAGGCTAACTAAAGAGGAATAAAGGAATTGCATTATTGATATAATTAACATTACAATTTCATAAACATGTAAATTTTTGTATCTTTTAAATATGAAAAAATAGCATATATTACTAATAAATGAATCAAGTCTCAATACAGAAGCACTCTCTCCTTATGGCTGTCAAGCTCAAAAACTTCATAAGATTTGTAATATTCTCAATACACATATCCTTTATGTAATTTGGGTGCTCAACCAGGCTTAAACCTGTCATAAGGTTTGTGATATCATCAACGCTCATATCCATACGATGATTTATCTGATTTAACTGTTCAACCAAGTTTAAATCCATTGTGATATTCGTGATATCATCAATACTCATATATGAATGAAGGTTTGTGCATTCAAAGTGCTCGACTAAGCTCAAACTATTCATGAGTCTTGTGACACTATCCATAAGCATATCAGACCAGTGATGCGTTGGTTCCACTTCCATATAATCTGGTTCCACTTCCATATAATCTGGTGCTTCTTCAACCCTTCCTCCGCAATTCCCCTCAATTTTTCTACTCCAGATAGTTGTGTCATTAACATCCTTATTTACTTTCAATCGTTTAGAGCTTAGGTACTCATCTAGCTCAATGGCACAACTTGTCGCAAGCCGGTGCTTCTTTTTATGTTTCAGCGCCAAACCTTTAACCTCATACATTGAATTTTTCTTTCTCTCCTTTTTCAGTTTACGTTTTTTAATCCTGCCATAAAAATAGAAAAAAAAAAAAAAACTTACAAATTAATAAAGACAAGTGGTAAGAAATAAAAATAGACTTTAGAAGTTCAAAAGAATTTTGCATGCTTGAAATATAATATTTTGATTACATATAATAATAATAATAATAATA